TCGTGCGGCCGGCCTGGCGTAGTCTTAATTAGGTTTTAGTATAGGTTTTTATATGGGGTATTTTAGAGCAGGCCTTTATTTATTTAATTTGATTTTAGAATAGATATTTATTGTGATTTTTATTATCGCCTGTTCACCGCCCTGAGTCCCGTAAGGGAGATAGGGCGGTATACAAATCTAAATAAACATAAACATAAACCTAGACCTGGACCAACTTCCCAGAGTTGCAGCTGTTTGTATAGCACACCCAGGGGTAGCTGATGCTTCAGGGCTGGGAATGGGATGATGCCCATTTTGTTGTTGCTTTGGTGGCAGCCAATGCCATGGAAAGACTGGGTGTCTGCAAGGGAGAAAGTTATAGAAATTAAAATGGCTTAAACTTGTAGGATTAATGTTCCTCTAAAAGGCTCATATGCTGTTTCCAGAAATAGGACAGGAACTTTTCTGCCTCGAGATAATCTGGTTATTTTAAACCGGGATAGTTTGCACGGGGGAAAAAAAGTTGCAGTTTGTGGGACTCAGTACTAGGACTGAATCCAATGAAATAAAAGAAGAGTGTGATGGGGATAAAAATGCAGGAAGCAGGGGTGCTTGTGTCTCACAAGTTGCTGATAATCAAATGTTCCAGTGAGGGGTCCTTGGTGCTTTCTGAACTTGGTGTTTTTTTTTTTTCTTTCTTTCTTGGTTGTTTCCTGCAACACAGATGTTGTTTACCTAGCACAGTTACCTAGTTTGGGTAATGAAACATCTGCAAGAAAACAACCAAGCTCAGAGAGCACCACGGACCCCACCACGTTTCAACTCTCAGCTACAAGTATTCTCCTTTTAATGTTTCACTGTTCCTTTCTCTCTCTCTCTCTCTCTTTAAGAGTCTTTAAAAGATGGTTAAGAGAGGGGAAGCAAATTACTGGATGTTCTCAGCCCGGAGTCTCAAAAGAGAAAACAGAGAAGAGCTCTCAGGAAGTCGGAAAAAAAGAAAAGAAAAAGAAAAAAAAACAACAACAGGCCATGGGGAAACTTTTCTTGACTGATCTTGAGCAAGAGGTTCAGGAACCTGCAGAATGCAGAGCAGATTGGCAGCCAAGTTCCTCCCGCTGGAACTATAATTGGCCCCACCGATTTCTATCTGGGCTCACTTTGGAATCCAGCAAGGCAGAAATCGGTCTTAAAGTCTGGACAATGGAGTGTGTGTGTGTGTGTGTTGGGGGGGGGGGAGATGGGAGAAGGCACAAGGATTGAAGGCCAGCTGGCTGCTTGGCAGGCAACAGGCTCTCTCGCAAGCTTTGCTTCATCTCCAGGCAATGCCCGTTAATGAATTAATCGGTGTGCGGTGACCGCAATTGGAAAGTGACAGGGATCTGATCCCCCTCTGCCCCGTGTTTCCCCAGGGATTTTTATCTGGAACTTGTGCTGCCTTAGCAGAGATCATCTCGTTCTCCTCCACGCTTTTATTATTGCCGGGATCAAAACTACTGAGCTGTTATCATGCGGACACAGCGCTCTGAAGACCTCAAACTCGCCTCAGCTTTGCCTTCCATTCACAAGGCAACCTAGCAAGGCAGATGAAAAGCTGTAGTCGCCCTTAAATGTGATGTGTAAGTTTATTCTGGTATTGACTCCCCCCCCAGAATGTTTATATATGGTTCTATCTGAAAGTGAATGTGTGGTGGATATTAAAATTAATGTTGAATTTTAACTGGTTGTTTTGGAATTTTATGTCTGATTCCCCCCCCCCCCAAAACCAAGGCAATGAAAACAACATAGAACAGTGGCACTCAGCCTTCTCTTCACCACAGATCCCCCCTTTAAATACCTTTTGTGGTTACAAACCATGGCTACCAATGCCCAATACATAACTCAAGATTTAAGTCATAACATTTCTTCAAGCCTTCGCAGACTCTCTGGGACCACATCACGGCCCTCTCCAGGGCTCCTCAGATCACAGGTTGAGAACCACGGACATAGAACATAGGGGTCAGAAGTTTTCTAGTCTGAGCCCCTGCTAAAGCAAGAGACCCTAAACAACTATGTAAAGATGTTATTATATCTAACAACTGAAGGGGAAACTTGGATCTTTGTCTCCTACAATAACATTTGGAAGAAATGCACAATAATAGTGCTAAATGATATGTTGTTACTCACATAGTAGACTTTCCAACACTACTTTTCCCTTTGGGGGGGCAGGTGGGGGCGGGGTTAAATGCTAACAGAGTTGTCAGCCTGCCTATTAACCTTAAGAACAAAAATTTAAAATGGGAACGCAAAGCTCTCTTTTAAGCAGTTGAAGTCCTCATTAAATTCTGCTCAATGCTTCCTTCTGTGCTGCACCAGCAGAGTCTCTGAGCTCATCCTTCCGTCTTCTGATTTCAAACAGCCAGTTCATAGTTCAAGAAACCCTAAATTATAATAATAAATCTAATCTAATCCCTGGTCTACACAGCTATACAGATTATAATTTAAAGAGACTCTGCGAAAGTTCCATTTTAGCTGCCTTCAGATGCCAAGGCTGGTGGGTTTCTAGTCCTCTTGAAGCCGAGCTGTTTTGTAGGCTGGGAACCAGCACACAGAAAACATGTGCTCCCCATTCTTCTCAACCTTCTCTTCACCTTTTGTGGGAACAATGAGCACCCCCATGTAGGACAGAATGGGCGGGTGCCACCTGCAGGAAGTGGTTCTGAAGATAGCTGTATGCCAATCCATGTAGGACTTTGTAGGTTACAACCAGCACTTCGCTTAGAAATGTTTTGGAAGCCACTGAAGTGTAATATGATTGTGTAATACCTGGCAGAATAGAGAGTGATGTATTTTGCCCCCATTGCAGTTTTTGAGCAAAGGCAGTCCTCTGTAAATTATATTATGGTACTCTGTGATTGATGAGACCGTATCTTGGGGGCTACAGTTTCCTGCCCCAGACACAGCCGCAACTGTGCATCAACTGAAACATGGCAACGGCGACCCTTGTCATGGCCTCCGGATGTGAATCTAGGAGCCTTCCCAAGATATGGACTTGCTCCTTCATTGGGAGTTAAAACAAGTGTCAGGTATTTTCTGGATCAAGATTGTTAACCTCTTTTATCCCATCCAAGCATCTTCAACCTTCAGGCATTGGGCCAAGTTTTCCATGATACCTTTGGATCTGCCCAGATGATGATACCTCGTCCCATGAGGCTTCATATAATGTTAAAGAGTGGGGAATGAGACAACTGAATCTTGTAGAATCACACAAGAGCTGACCCGACCCACCAATTTGTAAGGTCTACTGGGAAGAAGTAAAGCTACTTAAAAAGGTAAAGGTTTCCCTGTCCAGCTGTCAGATTCTAGAGTGCGGTGCTCATCTCTGTTTCTTGGCTGAGGGAGCCAGCATTGCCTGCAGACTTTTTCTACGGTCATGTGGCCAGCATGGCTATATGCCAAAGGCACACACTGTTACTTTCCCATCTAAGTGGTACCTATTAATCTACTCGCATTTGCATGCTTTTGAACTACGTTTGCTATGTCCCACAGACGAATAATGCGTCAGTTGACTATACTGAATACAGGTAAGAGAAGCAGAGCAGAACACCTGACTTCTACAGAGACATCTGCTCATGCCTGACAAATAATGCTTGTCAAATCTTAAGTCTTTAGTTATATATGGCCACGTTCTTAGGCTGCCAGTGTCGGCATTGCCATTTCCTTGCAGCACTAGATGAAGACACAGTTGTTTGTTATTGATGTCTTACAATTACAGATTTCCTTTTAATTCTGTGAGTTAGAGCAGGGGTGCCAAAAGTGGCGGCTCGCAAGCTGGATGCGTCACATGCAGGACACGCACACCCCAGCTCTGCAAAGGCAAAAAACATCATAATACGTCACGTGACACAATCGAGTTTGACACCCATGAGTTAGAGGCTGAAGAGGAAGACTAGATGGAGCCTGGGGAACCAATAGGCCATCAAACAATAGAAGCAACTCCAAAAGACAAAGTCTCTTGAGTAGGATGGTGACTCAATGGAAGAGTAGATTCCACCTAGCCCAAGAATATAGTATTATGACCAGGGTCTGAAATCTCAACCTATCTCTAGTATTTTCGCTGACAGAGAACTTCCAAGTCAGTTTTTTCTCCAAAGTTGAGAAACAATCTCACACTAAACAAACAAGCAAACTAAGACTCCAAGCAGGCTTTGCTAATGCAGATAGTCCTCAACCTACAACAATTTGTTTAATGACAGTTCAAAGTTACAACGGCACTGAAACAAGTGACTTATGACCGTTTTCACACTTGCAACCATTGCAGCATCCCCCGTGGCCGTGGGATCAAAATTTGGATACTTGACAATTGGCTCGTATTTATGACGGTTGCGGTGTCCCGGGGTCATGGGATCCCCCTTTGTGACCTGACAACAAAGTCAATGGGAATGTCAAATTCACTTAACAACTGGGTTACTAACTTAACAACTGCAGTGATTCGCTTAACAACTGTGGTAAGAAAGGTTGTAAAATGGGTCAAGCCTCACTTAACAACTATCTCAGCAACAGAAATTTTGGGCTCAATGGTGGTCATAAGCCAAGGACTATCTGTAACTGATCTACTGCTAAATAATACTTGCTGTTTTATCCCTTACACTGTAGAATTACTATATTACATTTTTAACTAATGGTTGAAACGGAGAGAGAGAAAATGTTTTTTTCCTTCCTTCCTTGCTTTTGTTTTTATGATTACATTTTACATTTTGTAATCCAGCAAGTGCATCCTGGATGCATCTGCATAGCAAATGGGATTATAGCAGGTTTAATTGATTAACTGGTCAATTTCACCTGATCTAGCGTATGCAGAGAAATGTTACAAATACATGTTTAAATTGAGAACGGCCTGAATTGATCTCGGCTGCATTTAGTACTGGGACAGAAGGCTTGGAAGGTAGAAAGACTGGTCAGCTAGAAGTGCTGTTAGCCTTTAAATCAGCCTTTTACAAGACTACGGCAAAGTAAGATTTCAGTAGTGTGAAAAAATATTCATGTGATACCACGATACAAGTCATTCTTGTTATATACCTGCAGGCAAAGTTGCAATGCTGCTACAAAATGGGACAAGCTTGTGCCCCCTCTCCTCTTGCCTTGCTATAGAAGTCCATTCTATAGAACAGACAATATTTGTAGAATAAATAAAGAGAGCCAATTTTGTGTAGTGGTGAAGGCACCAGGAGAAAGTCAGTTCTAGTCCCGCTTAGTCATGAAATCCAGCTGGGTGACTTTGGGCCAATCAGTCTTCTCTCAGACTAACCCACCTCACAAGGTTGTTTGTTCAGGGCAAAAAAGGNGAAGGCGCCGGCTGCTGTGCCCAGGCGGAACGGCTCCCCCTTGAGTTCGGAGCCCAGCGAGAAGCACTTGAGGCCCACGGCGGCGGCGCTCAGCGCGCAGGCGAGCAGGAGGCAGCTGGAGAGCGCGGCGCAGGCTCCCCGGACACTCCACTTCATCCTCCGCGTCTCCTCCGCCGCCTGCGCCTCCTCCTCCTCCTCCTCCCTGCCTCGCCTCCTCCGCCTCCCTCCGCCTGCGCCTCCTCCTCCTCCTCCTTCGCCTCCCTTCTGTCCTCATCCTCCCGTGTCCTCCTCGGCGTCGGCGGCCCTTGCCGGCGAGGCGGCCGCCGCGCGTTGCGGGAACATAATGCTGGAGACGGCTGTGGCGAGAAGGGAGAGCTCCGAATGCGCCGCCGCCGTTGCTCTGGCTGCTACCGCCACAGCGGCCGCCGCTGTCACCGCCGCCTCCTCTCTGCAGGCAGCCGGCAAGCACGGCTCACGCACCAGCTTTTTCCTCCCCGCCCTGCTGCCTCCCGCTCTCTCTTATCGGAGCTGCTGCTGCTGCTGCTGCTGCTCTCTTGCTCGCCGCCGCCGCTACTGCTGGGAGCCGATGAATTATTGATGGCAGCAAGTTCGAGGCGAAAGAGGGGCATCGAGCACCTCGCCCGGGTGGCGGGAGGGAGGGAGGGAGGTCTTAACCGCCGTGGGGTGGAGGAAAAAAACAGGTCCGACGGTTTGGACGAGCCCGCCCTCTTTCTAGCCAGCCTCCTCCGGAGACGCGCGTGGCACAGCTCCCGCCGTCCATTCCTAGCAGGACCGTGTGTCAACCTGGATGCGCCCGGGAGGCGGGGAGGGAGGGAGGGGAGGGGGGGGAGGAAGGCGCGCAGCAAAACACTCCAAAACTGGATCAAATCAACACCTCGGAGGGCAAATGGCAAGGAAGGAAGGCGTGTCCTTCCCGCGCAGCAGCAATGATCGCCCCCCCTCTCTCTTTCTCCCCCCCCTCCCCCCAGTTCTTGAAGACTGAACTTCCAGTTCTCACCCGGTCGGGATCCTTCACGCTAAGGAGGAGGCGCTGCTGTTAGCTTAGTCGGAGGGTCTCTGCGCGCCAGCCGGGCCAAAGGGTTACTGGCGAGAAGAGGTGGCTTTAAAACGCAGGGGGATAAACCGGAGGGGGGGGGAAGCGAGGAAAGCGTCACTTTTCTTTCATTCGTAGCCTGAATGGTTCTTCTCCCAGTCGGAGAGAAATCTACTTGCGGGCTGCGCGGACTCCCAATACCGCTTCTCCGTACTTCTCTCCCCCCCCCCCCCCCCCCCCCCC